AGAAGGTCGAGTCCTGTTCTACGCAGAGCACTGAGTTCTTCTGGAGATGCACTTAGAGGGCAGCATCAGACCTCAGCGAGGTGGCCTGGGGGCAGTGCCTATACCTGCAGGACCCCAGGAGACTGACAGCAGTGCCAGGGGACCAGCTTTCTGCAGGAAGAACCTGCTTCTTTAATGCCCCTTCATCAGAGAGGACACTCAGCATACAAGTGTGAACACAATAATGCAATCATGGAAAATGTGCCTAAGAGTCATAAGAAACCAAGAAACATTTTAGCAGTCACCCTGGGCTGACGTGTGCTGACGTGCGCCGTGTTCCTAAAGACTAGGAAGGCACCTTGATCTGGTTCTTCGCAAACAGTGTGACTCCGAAGGTAGGAAACACAAGCACGGGACGTGGAGTCACTACTGCTGTTTAACGCGACCGGCATGGTCGCTGGACACTGTGTCCTGAGATCCGCAAAACACACAGACGCGGCTGAGGAAGCCACCCAGTCCCACCAGCGTGAGGCCTCCGCTCCCCACAGTCAGGCACCACTGGCCAGTGAGAGGACTCAAGCTCCCAGCGGCCCAGCACTGCAGAGGGCCCCTACAGCAGGAAGGAAGGTGTGTGGTAGACCTCAGGTGACACCAACAGCCAGAGACTGGAGGGAGACCAGGCTCTCCAAGGGCTCCACCGCTCCAGAGACTGACAAAATCACCCAGGCAGCCTGCGAACTGTCCCTTTCTGCTCTTTCAAGGCCTCTGGCCAATGGCAGACATGTCTGGTACCTTTGAGGGGAACCTGAGCAGCCCACAGGGCCGGTGTTCACCCCGACAGCCACATGAACCCTGCAATGGTCTCAGGACCTCCACGTGGCCTTGTTTCAAGTCCCTCGCCTCAGTCTCTATTTTAGGGCTCAGGCCTGAGCCAGTCTTGCTAGTATACCCCTGTAAACTCCCTTCCTGGAGGCTGCTTAACAGAATCACAAATTCCAAGCTGGTGAGAACAGCCCGCCGGCCGGACTAGCATGAACAAGGCCCGAGTGGTGCCATCCCCAGTCATGGAAAACAGACAAACCAAGAAGTCCTGACTTTAGAATATACTGCTCAGGGGAAACTAGAAATAAACATATTTCACAACATGAAGCATTTATAAAGGTAAAAATAAAAAGTTAGGGTTAGGGCTGGGGCATAAACTTGGCTGTATCTGGCCAGCCTCTCTACTACCGACGCTGCTGTCGGGGTCCGGCCGCACGGCGGTCGCAGGCTGACCCACCCAACGGCTCTGGAAAGCCAAGCGCACGCGGCACTCGCACGCACGCGGCGCGGCACGCAGGGGCGCGCGGGCACTCGCACGCTCGCGCAGGGCTGCGCGACGGCTGGAGCGAGGACCGCAGGTCTGGGAGGGAGCGAGCCGTCGGCCTGGGGGCTGGAAGAGGGCGATGCACAGGGCTTCCTGGGGCTTTGGGGATGGACGGAGTGAGACCAGGTAACGCAGGGAAGGTGAAGGGCTGAGTTAAAGGGAGCATACGGCATCTCTGCAGACTTGGGGGCAACAGGCACTCTGCACACCAAAGGCGGCTTCCGTGTTTTGCACCGGGGTGCGCCCAGGGACGCCTTGGCAGAACGTGCGGCAGCAGCTGGGAGGCAGGCCCTCGGACGTGGGAGCGCTCTTCATCGGCTGCGCGGCCTGCCTGAGCGGAGGGCACACGCCCAAGGTGGCTTCCAGGTCTGCGTCAGCGGTCTGTAGGTGGCTGGCTCCTCTTCCCAGTTCCCCAGGGCCCCTCCGCGTCGTCATCGCCGAGGGCCGATCTGCTGTTAGCTCAGTGGGGAAGAGGCCGCCAGAACCCAAGCCTGGGGTGGAAGCAGCCCGCCCAGCAGGGTCCCTCGCCGCCCCAGGCCTCGGGGACAGGGCTTGCGCGCCGCCGCCGACGGCCGGCCTGTGCTACCGCAGGGGCGCGGCTGCCCCTCCCGCCCGGAGGCTTCTCCGACGCGCGCTCCTTCCGAGGCAGAACTGGGCCAAGGCTTCGCTTTGGACGAGACTGATACACGGACGCCTGCTCCGCCGTCCGGGCTCGTCACCTCCTGCTCTAGCCCCGTGTGGCCATCAGGGACTTGCAGCTCTGTGGCTGCCCCATTGACAGCTCGCGCGGGTGCCCAGCCGCCTCCGGGCCACACGCGTCCCGTCACCGCCCACCCCTGCAGAGCTGGGGCTGGCCACAGGAGGGGGCCACGCCGCCGCGCGGGTGCTCGCGGGCCGCCCCACGCCCAGCCAGCGCACGTCTGAGGCGCGAGCGAAGACCTGAGACAAGAGCTCTCTGTAGATATTTATTCTGCTTCAAGTAACAAAATTTATGAAGCCCCGTGTCTTAATGTACAGTGATATAACACTCTGCAATACAAAATAACAATTTACAGAAATTCCTATCAAGTAACCCAAAGAAACACTTGATTTTTACATTTGTATATTTAAATTAGAAAAGTTTGCATTTTAACTTTTAAAAAAACCCTTTCCATCACGTTAGATGTTGGACTTTAATGTAGCTTAACCTACCAATGCTTGGTTTCTAACACCAAACACCCCAAATTTCTAATTTTTCAAGGTTTTCTCAACTCAAAACTCTGTGCTATAAAGTGAAAAATCTGTAGTGATGTACAATATAATGGAATAAAAGACTCCAAGAACAAATGAACCTCTCTATAATTTTATATCTGCAAAATTAAGTTTATGAAAATATAAAAAGAATTATCAAATTGTATTTGTACAGTCCAATAAGTTAACCAGGCTTTCTCTATTCCACATCAGAAGTACCCGAAAACACAAGACGACCGGCATAGCACCGCGCATCAGTGAGAACCTATTTTGTCATTTCCGAATAAATCACTCTTGTCCTGCTCAACTCTGTGCAAGTGTGCCTCCACTCCAGGGGCAAACTCGAACCGACCCCTGCGCGGGGCAGCCGCCCAGAGCGCGCGTCCAGGATCTTGGGGGGCTGCTCGCGGCAGGGGCCCCGCCCTCCTGAAGTACACTCGCGCGCTCTCTAAGCTGGTCAAATTGAAACATGTCGCAATAAATTATTTCAAATGCAACGATATCTGCTAGGCTAGGTGCTGCTTTGAACTGTTTTTGAAAAAATTCAAAACTAAGAAAAGTACTTTTGTCTCTGGATTGAAATTTACACCTAAATTTCTTCATGACGAAGCAAAGGCGAACCGTAGCTTCCAGGTTTCCTGCCACTGCGGGAGGGCTACTCAGACTGTCCTGCACAGCCGCAGCGCGCATCTGAGCTCACCCGCTGGTGTTGCCGCCGGCCGGCCAGGCCAGCCCTGGGGCAGCTCCGGACAGCGGGGCGGAGGAGGTGCTAGCGAAGGCTCGGCTCGGAGTCCCCCGAAACGCACTTAAAACTTACAACAGTCAGTTACTGGAAAGGATAACTATAATCTGAAAAAGCAATATGCTTCTGTAGGTATTTTCCCATTTCTGTAATTTTAAATGGAAATACTAAGTTCTGAAGTTTTTTTTGTTTTTTTTTAAAAAGCATCAGATAAAGATGTGAAATTTTGTAAGAAATCAGTATATACAAAATTACAGTAACTTTTGAAGTCCAGAATATGCTTTCCAGCATCTAAGTTCATCAGGGCTATTTCAAAAGCTCTTTGTGAAATATTTTACAAAGTAGGCTTTTTAAAAGCATCCCTGCCAGGCTGCACGTATCAATGAGGCCGGCCACCATGAAGCCGTTCTCCGCACGTCTGACACCACGGCCAGGCACGCGGCTTCTAGGCCTGGGCAGAGGCGCTGCCTGAATCCGAGGCCCTTGTGGCCTCCGGCTTCAGGTCCCGCGTACTCTCTTTGCTCTTGCTTCGGTCCTTGCGTTCACGGCCTCGCTCTCTGTCCCGGGCCCTCTCTCGGTCTCGGTCTCGGTCTCGGTCCCGGTCCCGGTCCCGACTCCTGGACCTCTCCCGGTCCCGCCTTCTGTCCCGATCCCGATTTCTGCTTCTCTCCCGGCTTCGGTCCCACTCCTTGGTCCGATCTACCTGCCGCTCTTTGTCCCTGCTCTTGTCCCACTCCCGGCTGCAGTCCTTCTCTCTGTGTCTATCCCACTCCCTGCTCCTCTCCCAGTCTCTCTCCCGACTCCAGTTCCTGCCTCGGTCTCTGTCCCGCCTCCTGTCCTCAAATGCCCGGACCTGCCGACTCTCAGGCCCCTGGGCTTCTGGCTCCTCCAGCGACTTCTCTTTGGGCCCAGCTTCAAACCGGTCTCTCTGCCGCCCTTCGAAAGTCTGATTCCTGTACTCGTGGCCCTTGCCCTCTCGGAAGTCAGCCGCCATGGGCCACTGTCCGTCGGTCTCAGGGCCCTGTCCAGACGAAGCGCTGGAAGGCAGAGCTGTGGCTGGACCAGGCTCATCCCATCGGTCCTTCCGGTGCTGTGGGGGGTGGCTAGGGAGCTCCAGAAGGGGCCTGGGGGACGGCTTCATTGCCTGTGGGGATGGGCCTGGAAAGTGAAATCGGGAAGGTGTCTGCTCATTTTTCTCAGAAAAAGGTGCAGAGACCCTTGGTCCCCCATATGGCATGGGTGCGGGTGTCCTCGGACCTGCAAACCTAGGTGGTGAGTTTACCCTCTGCTCTTCAAACTGCTGAGGCTGAAGGCCCCGGGGGCCTGGCATGAAACCTGGGGCCTGGCCTCTGGGTCCATCAAATTGACTGGGATGGGGCCCCCGAGGGCCCACAAAATGGCCAGGGGGCGGCCCTCTCTGGCCACCAAACTGAGCAGGTGGGGGTCCTCCTCGGGCACCTTTCAGCTGAGTCAGGAGAGGCCGTCTTTGGCCTCCAAACTGGAAAGGTGCAGCACCCCTGCTCCCCATGAACTGAGCCTGCTCTGGCCCTTCACACTGAGCAGGGGCCCCTGTCATATCGCTGTACAGGGTGTCCTGGAATTCCCTTTTCTCCCCATGGGGGTCTTTGTGTTCTTCAAATTGGGTTGGTGTTCCTCCTCTGGGCCCAAGGTAAGAGGGTGAGGGCCCCCTATTGTCCCCATATGGCGGTCCATGTTGCCCCAGAAATAAGGAAGGGATGGGTGCCTTGGGGGCCCCAAATCTGGTGGGTGGAGGTGCTCTTGGCCCATCGTTGTTAGGAACCCCATTATCTTCTGGAAATGAAGGGACCGGTCCCCTAGGTCCTGGAAAATTGGGGCCATGAAGTCCAGACACACCGAAGGAACGAGGAACTGGTTCACGCTGGCCTGGAAACTGGGACTGAGGGGCTCCTCCTTTTTGTCCAGCCTGTGGGTACAGGGCAGTGCCTTCACCAGGCCTGGACAGTGGCTCTCTGTCACCCTCTGCATCAGTGGCCGGGCTATCACTCTTTCCAGCACACTGAGTGTTTCTCGGGTCCTCATACAGAGATGGGCAAAGAGATTTTTCCTGAGAAGTAAATACCAGACCTGAGAAAGGCTCTCTTCCTCCAGTAGGATTGAAATTCTGCACATCGTTCTGCAGAGTGAAGCCAGGCTGAAAGGCAGTGCTTGGGGGTGTGGGCAGCAGCACCCTCCGAGGTGGTCGGGCCGTGTTGTCTCCAGCCGTGGGGGGATGCACGCTCTCTAGGGGCTGCGGAGCAGAGGTTCCAGGCTGCTCGCATCCCTGGCTGTCCTGCTTGGGTGCCAGTGCAGTCTTTTCGCCTGAACCCCAAGGCACTGGCATTAACGGCTTTGACTCCTGGGCTGCCACAGGAACCTGCACTGCTGGGGCCCCACCAGGTGCCTCCCTGGTAGGCAGAGTACCCTGCACTCCCAAGACATTGCCTGCCGGAGGCCTGGAGAGGGGCTCACTCTCGCTGCTCTCTGCTAGGCGCCTGGCCTGCCTAGGGTCTCTACTCTGTCTGCAGTCTGAGTTTTGGCTTGTCCCTGGGGCTCCCTGATTCTGGTCTGGTGCTTGCTGCTCCTGGGGGAACAGCTCTGCCTTGGCCAGTGATGGCTTGGGGGGCGGTGACATCAGTGCATCCGACACAGAGAAGTGGGCCATGGAGACCCCCACAGCGGCTCTCTGCTGCCTAAGAGCTTCCTCTTGCTCCTCCAGCTGTCTCTTCTGCTCCTCAATTTGTTTGTTGAGCTCCTCCAGCATTTTCTGCTGTTCCACCAAAGAGGGGGTTGGGACATCTGCGGCACACTCTGGAGGCCGCTCGGTGGAGCTGCTCCTCAAGTCTGCACACATCCTGTTGGGCAGGTCATCGATGGTCACTTTGGCTTCCTCTAAAATGGTCTCATCTTCGGGGTCGTAGGCCACCTCCTCCCTCTCAGCCATGTCCGGAGCCTTGTCCACATCCTGACATAGCCTTGCCTCTGGCAGAGGAGGGCCAAAGGCCCGCTCGGGGTCATACTCCTCCTCAGGGTCATAGGGCCTGTCATCTTCCTCCTCCTCCACAGCCTTATCCTTTGAAAACTGACCGAACTGTTGAACGATGGGATCCAACAAAGGGGCAGCTGACACACCCTCCTCACCCTTGTTTTTGGGGTCCTGCTGGGAGGCTACAGTGGGTCCAGCAGGGTCTTTGGCACGTGGGTCAAATGCTTTCTTCTTTCCAAAGAGAGTCTGCAGAATGTGTTCCAGGGGGGTGGCCGTTTTTGAAGCTGATGAAGTGACAGGTGAAGCTGAGGCTGCCATGGTAACTGTGGCTGTGGAGGCAGGAGCAGCAACCCCGCTGGTGGCCACTGGTGTGAGTGAGGGCAGGGTCTTCAACACTGCAGGCTCAGGCAGGGGGGGCGGGGGAGGAGGAGACCCAGGGGGCGTGGTGCCTACAGCCGTGTCTGCAGGGTACAGCTGGTACTTGGGGGGCTTCCTCTCGGCCTGGGAGGCTGCTGTGACCTTGGGACAGACTGGAACCTCCATTTCTTCTTGCTGAAGGCGGGCCCGCTTCTCCTCTGTCTTGTCCAACTCTCCAGCATTTGAAGGACGCTTTATTTTCTGACAGATGACTAACCCAAGGATTATATTTGGTCGCGGTGACTCAAGACCTAAAAACAAAAAAACAAAGCATTTGTGTTTTAGAATCTGAATTGTTTTTATCCTCCACATATAAATTTTATCCAGAACTGTCATGAGGAATATTTAACAGATGGATGAAGAGATTTCGGGTCAGAATAAAATGGTGCTTGACAAGACAGGATGATTTTTGTCCCAGACTAGCAGCACACCTGTCTGGTCCTGACAGCAGGCCAGCTGCACCCCTAACCAGAGAATACAAAGGACTGAGCACTTAAGTAAGTTCTTCCCATCACCAGGGATTATGTTCCATGTTTTTAAATGTATAGCGCTACTGCGGTAGTTCAGAGCACAGGGAAGCTCGTGGGCAAACGCCACTGTTTGCAGAGGTCACAAGGCTGCATGCACTACAGCTTTAACTTTTTTATGTATGTGGTGCAGGGTCCCACTACGCAGCTTGGACTTGTAGTGATCCTCCTGTTTTCAGCCTCCCCAGTGCTGGGATTACAGGTGTGTGCCCCCATGCCCGTTCTCAGTGGCTGGCTCAGTGCACGGGGTGTGAGGCAGGCGCAGCATGTGGTGTGGGGGGATCCAACCCCTGTCCCTGTGCTTGCCTAAGCAGGCACATAGCCCGCTGAGCTATCTTGCCTGTCCTTGAGGGTTTTTTCTTTTTCATACATATACTACCTATTCAATTTATTAAAAATTGTAGCAAACATAATAAACTAGTGCTCCAAATGTATGCTGCTCACGTGGAAGACATTACAAGAGAAGACACAAGAGACTGCCTTGCAATCGAGTACACAGTCCTTCTACAGATGTGGACAAAGAAAAGGACAGATCCAGATGTCTAAAGAACAGCTCACTGTGCACATCTTGTTTACACTTTTGTACGCTGTCTCAGTACAAATGGCTGTCTTGGAGTTTAAATGTTAATTTTTGCAGTACTGAGAATTGAACCCAGGAACTCTTATGTACAAGGCAAGCGTTCTACTACCAAGCTGCATCCCCAGCCCTGTACTGGGACATTTTAAACAAAATCTGACCTGGCCTTATTTGTCCCTTGGTATCAGGAGGTGAACAATCATTTTTGCTTTAAGTCAAGGCTTGCAACACACAAGCAAAGCTAAACATACTAAGTAAAAGCTGCAAAAACTAAAATGAATCTGTCAGAATTATAATGGGAAAAAGAAAGCTGTTTGAAAGGCTAATTTAGGTTAAGAAGAAAATTTAGTGAACATTAACTCAGGAAGAACTACCCAATGCTCAAGTCTACCTCAGTATACAGAACTGTGCTTACGTGAAACACAAAGATGTCAGAAGCAGGCAGCAAAGAGCACATCACAGGAGGAAACAAGACATGGGGGGTCTGGAGCAGAGTTCACTAGAGATAAATGGGACTATTCTAAACATTGTAGGCTGTGGTTACTCAGACCAGGAATACTCCGCTTACAAAAAGGATCCCCCGACCACCGTACTCATAAATACACCTAGACTAAAAGAGGAACAAAATATCCACGTCACAAAATAGTTGACAAACACAGGACACAATGATACAGAAGGAACAGAATGCGACTTTCAATAGCATGGACGTCTCTAAAATTCAACTGTATATTCAACGTTCAGGTAATTTAGTATTACCATGGTGGACAAACGTATTCGTAGTGCCTTTTCCTTGCAATTAAACCAATGCTAAACGCAGAGCAAAGCTGCACATGCCCATAAAGCCAGCACTTGGGAGGTTGAGGCAGGCCAGCCTGGACTACACAGCAAGACCCTGTCTCACAAAATACTATGGATTTTCTTCCTGTTGTGACTTTAAAGATGGACATTAATCATTTCAACAGTTATCTTTGGATGCTATTATGTAGTTGGAACTGTGTGTGTTTAATCTTCTTAATCCCAAGAAGAGACTTAGCCAGCCAGAGCACACGATGGGGTCCAGCCTCTCCCGCCCACGAGCACAGTGTATGCTCTTTGTGAGGGGCTCTTACAGGGTCTGCTGCTTCCTGGGCTGGAATGCAGGAGCCAGCTGAGCCCCCACTGTCATGTAAGGAGGACCTTCCCAGGCTCTTTCCACTAGGGAAAAGGGATCGGCTTCAGAAGAAAAGTCGAGCAAAGGAGCACAAAAACTCCAAAGGCTGGCACACCACACTGAACACCATGTGTAGATTTCCCCCCCCCCACCCCCCCGCACAGATGATGTGAAATGCAACCTACAAAGTTTATTTTCCAGTAACAACAAACAAAAGGTATTTTAATTTAAAACACTACTTTCACTAATAGGTATTTACTACTACATTCAACTGCATAGTTTGGGGGTACGTTTAGTTGTTAAACTGGCTGTTATAGCCTTCTGGAACAAAGGTCTGTTTAAAATGACCAGAAGACTTGCAGAGAAGGTTGGAGTCCCAAGCAACCACAATTTAGAGCCTCAAGCTGAGATGCTAATGGAGGCCGGGCTCTAAAACCTGACACCAGCAGCGGACAGACAGGCACTGCTGGCTGAGGTGGGAGGGGAGGAGACTGGACAGCGAGGTGGGGCCTGCGCGGGGACACCAGGGCCGAGCAGCGCCACACTTCTGCCCTCAGCTCCAGTCCAGGGTGCTGCCTTGCTCCTCGGAAAGCTCCACGGCAGACTTCTGTCAGGGTTCCTGGTGCAAACGGAGTCCCGGGGCATTCATGAGCACGTGAAGACAGCTCACTGTGTGAAGCCCAGAAGACAAGCTCTGCCTCAGAGCACTCCCCTGTAACTGAGGTTTGGAGCGACCCAGTGGCTTCCTGGGAGAAATCCCGAGTCCTAGCCCAGGAAAACTCTCTAGACTGCATGAGCCCTGCAGTCACGTCCTCACAAGGCAAATGTTCCATTACTTCCTATTTCCACTGGCACTGAGCAGTGCAGGCATTTACAGTCTGCTGCTGGTCGTCTGCTATGCTGCCGCCTCCTGACCATCCCATCCACAGTGCACGGCTGATCAAGCTCCAGAGGCCAGTGCACCCCGATTTCCCACTAAGGTTCCTCAAGATTCTGAATTCAACCTGGGCTGTCCCGTGTAACAGATACCCCAATTCTGAAGGACACCCTCAATAGCTGACTTGGGGTCTGATGTCACTGTGGGCTGCAGGAATATCTGAAATGGAACAAGCACCATGGAGCAGCTTCTATGTAAGAAATAATACAACTCACTTATCAATCATCCTGGAAGCATCTTCAGTGAAAAAAAGGAATGTGTTTGAAGATGCTCCACACTGCCCCAAGAAAGGTGTCAGGCAACAAAATGTCAAACCTGGTCAGAGGGTGCCTTACACCTGGGGGAGGAGGAGTCGAGGCCCGTATTTCTCAGGGCTCACTTTATAGGCTTGTCCCACTTGGACAGCTGCCATAGAAGAGTGCTAACCCCTGGGGCATGTGGTGCACCTCCCTGGCTGCAGCAGAGATGGCGAGTGTGGACGCTGGCGGTGAAGGCCAGTCCAGCCTGGCTACTGCATGTTACCAATTCATCTTGAGGGCTACTGTGAGGTCTGCAAGTAACAGAGCAGGTAAAAAGCAGCAACTAGGTGTGGGGACACTGAGCAGCGGTTGCGTTAGCATGTGCGCTCCTCCATTTCCTGAGGGGATTTGACGGTGTGGTAGGACTGTTCCTTCAGAATATAGCAAGTATGCAAATATGCCTATATTAGACACCACATCTGTCACCCTTGAGTCTGCAGGGTGTAAGGGTCTAGTCCCAGACACAGTGGCCTTAGGCCAGACATGCAGGAAACAGAAACCAGGGACAAGGGGTGTGGCTGGAAAGGTGTCTGCCAATTCATCTCTTGGGACAGGACCAAAAACTAAGGCCTATTTCCAGATGAGTCAGCAACGATTTGTGAGAATGATGTGGCCAGGAAAGAAGGTCCTGTTCCTACAGACGCTGAGCAGTGGGCACTCTACGAGCCCCGAGCATCCATGTGAGCTAGTCATTAAGATGACAGCCCTTAGATCCAGATCTGCCAAAAGAAAACATTCACACTTGCTGGAACACAAGTTCTGTGGAGGTTAATAAACAACAGTTCCTAAGTATGAATTGGAGAGACTCGCCAAGTATGGTGAGGGCTCTATGCTTTTCCCAATGTACCAGGCACACACATGCACTCCCAGAGAGAGCCCTCCTTCTTTTCCACTCTGAATTCCTAAGGCCTGTAAAAGCCCCTGGACCAGTGCATGTTGCAGGTAGGAGGCACTGTCCTTGCAGGTACCAGTGCAGGAGCCTCCTGCAGGAGGCCAGCCCACGGCACTCTGCACTGCCAGAAGCAGATTATCCCAGCTCAGAAGCAGCAAAGGTGGCCAGGAACTACCAGAGGGTGCAAGTCAAACAAACAGTGACCAGTTTCCATGTAACATTTTTATTGATTTAGAGCAAGAAATTAGTACATTTCATTCAACACTATATTCTGACTTTGATTACAATTTCTGGGTAAAACTGCTGATACAAACACATGAAAAATGAAGATGTGCTTACCTGTCAATATGTGAAGGCACAGTATTTTCCAGCTAATTAAGAAGCAGTTAAAAGCAAACACAAAAGACACTGTGCACTCTCACACTTCCCAGGCTGGCTTCTCACAGGAGGCCAGTGATCAGCCCCTTCCCTTAGGAGTGCTCAAGAAGGGTTGCCTGCCTTCAGTGTGGACTGCTCAGCCAGACATGCGAATCAAGACCTAGTCCCACTGGTTCTCAGGCGAGACCACAGGCCCCTGCTGAGTGCCAGGTGGGCATCTTGGCCTCAGGCCCAACGCTGTGAGGGCCACAGATAATCGATGAGGTCACTGTTGCCCTGACTCCTTTTGCTCCCGTGATTGAGGCCCTACACCTGCAGACTCTGAGACCTCAAGTCCCTTCAATGTATCCTGTCCATGGCCCTAAGGTCCCAGCTCAACTGAGGGCTAAGTGGAGGATTCACAGCTGAATTAGAGGAGCTCCGGTTTTCTTTTGGGATTGTGATGACATAACTAACGCTGTCACTGACAGAATGAGACTGGCCCTTCTTTCTGTGCACATCACTGATTCGAGCAGAGACCATTTCTAGAGGTGCTCAGCAGGCTCTGGATGTGCTCTGAGCCATTGTGTGAACCACGTGTGGCAGGAGAGAAGGTCTATATGGGAGGAGGTCTGCATGACGTTTGCCAAAGTGCGGACAATCAAGAGGGAGCCGATGGGCAGACTGCCTCAGGTATCCCGTGAGGGCACTGCCTGGGCACCTGCGGGGTCTCTGTGGGCTTCTCCAGGAACAGCTGAGGGAGGGTCCTGTGCTGCCAGAATCTCCTGTGGCCTGAGGCACATGGATAAGTGTGGTGACTGCTGTCCCTATCCTGACCCTCTAGCACATCCTCCCCTGGACTAACTCGTGCCAGTTGCTGGCATAGGTCACAGGCTCCGGTGTGGAAGCTCACATGGCCTTCAGAATTGTGCTTCTTGCATCCCACAGAACACAAGGGCAGCAGCCTTAACGCCCAGGAAAAAGCTCTAGGTGGATGCGAATTTGTAGAGCCCCTTCCTACTGCTTCTAGGCGTGCACTGTGGGCAAGGAACACCACAGGCAGCTCAAAGACCCTAGTTTGCTGTGTGGCAGCTGCTGAGACAGGACGAGGTGAGCTGCGGGGGTGTGGGCACCACCTTCTGACGGGGCCTGAGCCACCCCATGTGTTCTGCTGAGACTGGGCTCTGTGAGGGCAGAAGCCCTGAGCTGGGAGGCAGGTTTCAGCTCAGACATGCACGTACACACGCACGCACGCACGCACACACAACCCTAGAAAATGCCAAGCTATCAGTACATAAGGTATCCTAACCGTGAGCTTACCTACTGCCTGTGTGTGTGTGTGTGTGTGTGTGTGTGTGTGTGTGTGAATAACACACATTTTGATGTCCACAGTGGTGTGAAGAGAATAAAATAAAAATCATATAGTGAGGTCAAGCTGAATTTTGTTTTTCAAAACTTGTGGCAATATTTCATTACCTTTCTAAAAACCACGCTTTTTTAAAAAATGAATAACAGCTGTTATTTACTGTAGATGGAAAGCTGTCCTTTCAGGGCCCCTTTTCAGGCAGGGTCACGGCTTCAGAAGGGGCCTCAGTATGAGTGTGACGCCTGCTTCGCCATCACTGAGTGTGAATCTGGGTGATCAGCACCCATCACACAGGGGTGCGGTGAGCCCCACCCGCCTAACCAACCCGACAGCTTCACACCGGGGGCTGGGCCTCAGGGGCCTCCCTCCACCTTTTCACTGGCCTCTGTGGAGGGCCCCACCCCCGCCCCACCTCAGGCACACTCAGTGCCTCTGGTGAGTCCTCCTCCAGCACGTGCTGGTGGGCGACTGTGCCAAGGGGCCTGAGTAAGGATGCCATGCTGTCTTAATCACCCCACACGAGGAGGCCCAGGAGCTAACAGTTTTTGAAGGAGTGGGCTTCTCCACCCTCGGGAGGTGCTTACGGCAGCACAGCACTCTGCCTACCCGTGAGCCCCCTTGCAACTGACTGGAAGCTCACTGCCCGGGGCTCTGCGTCTTGATCTTCACCTTCAGGACAGCTGGGCTTCTCTGGTCCCTCAATATGAAGATGCTCTCTCCCTACAGCTGCCGCCTCGCACCCCCCGGGCCCCACGAGGCAGGACACCTTCACCTCCACCTCCAGGTTAATTTGAAAGGCCATCCTGAAGCACCTGCAGAGTGTGCTTGCACTGGTATTAAAAGTAACGTAATTCGTCATGTCACTTACTAAAGTAACACCAACCAACACCTTTGGGTGACATAATTCCAAAGAGGCTGAAGTGAGCCCAGGGTGGCAGTAATGACAGCTCCTCAGGATCAGGCCTGTAACTGGGGCGATGAGCGCTCATTCCCACAAGGTGACTGTGTGCTTAGGGACAGCATGGGTGGCACATGGGGTTCCAAGAGCTCTACGTGGCTTCAGTCAGAGCTTCTGCCGAGGCTCGGTGACAGGAACCAACGTGCTGGGTCTAGGCTGCACCTGAATGCTCCCAGACATAGCAGGCGCTGCTACAGGAGAGCACTGGAAAGCGCACTCGGCACGTGACAGACACATCAGCTCTGCAGTAAGACCGATCCTGAGGACGCCACGACCAGGGAGACACACATCAGGCACCCAGCTTCAATTCCCTACGGGAGCCACATCACCCTCATCCACGGGGCTACGCACAGCTCCACGGCAGTGATGGACCAGAACCATCTTGGAATCACCTCAAATGAGGAAAATTCTGGATTTTTTGAGGTTAATTGATAAATCACTCTTTAAACATGTTACTTTCTAAGAAAAAGCAAACACAAAGTAGTTTGCCCAAGATGTAAGAACTTATGAAAACTTTATCTGTGGTTCTCAGAGTAATTCTTTCTTTCTTTTTGGCAGGACCAGGACTGCACTCAGGCCCTTGGGCTTGCCAGGCAAGCGCTTATTCTACTGAGCCGTCTCCCCGGCCCTCACAGTAATTTTTCCAAGTAGTGCTTTTCCACTTCCTGTCCCCGGGAATCGGTTTCTAAGAGGGCGCAGCGGGAGCACCCTGCCCTGACCGTCCACCTGGGCTACAGGGTGGGCAGAAGCCAGGCGAGCAACTGCTTCCTCTCCCCCAGGCTGCTGGAGGAGAGAAAGGACACAGATCCGAGGCTGAGCGGGAGCAGTCAGCCTTCCCACTCCCTAGACCTTCTGAAAACAACTCTGCTGACTGCTGCCCTTGTACAACTCTACCTCCCCATCAGAGGACAGGATCCCTCCCGTTGCATACTGTTTCCTGTGCACCCCTAATTCTGCCCACTGGGATGTCTGGGTTTGGTGGAGGCACATCTGCCTTGTGACATCTCAGCAGGACTTTATGTCAGTGGGGAGGATATACAGGGACCAGATGTGCCTAATGACCTCCCAGAAGGTGGGCACTTACCTGGTCCCTCAAAGGGCAAGAGTTTAGGTGGCACAGGGTCCTTAGCACTCAGTGGAATCAAGTAGAGGTCCTTGACATGCCTGTTGTTATTAGCTACAACCCCAAAGCGGCCTCGGCTGCTAAAATAGGAGTAGAGAGAAATGTAGGCGACCTCTTCCTCTTCTGTTGCTGGGTGAAAGCGAATCAGACAGAGCTCCTGCAAGACAAGAGCACAGGGTGGAATCTTCACCAGCTGCCCCAGTCCAAGCACCCATAAAGGTATTCCTAAATTTAATATGCAGATCCCAAAACAGGAGGCTTTAGCAGTGCTGGCTGATGTTCTCAGTCCCCTGGTCCAGTATGGGAAAACAAAGGCTCAAGCTTCAGACTGCCAGAATGAACTCACTTGCAGCACTGGGGGCACTTTAACTTTCTTTCCCTCACCTCAACCTCACAGAGCCCTGGAAACAGTGAGGAGATCTCTGTGAGCAGGGACAGTCAGCAGTGTGCTCCCCAGAGCAAGCTCTAATTCCACACGGAGATCAGAACAGATGAGCCTCCAGACCGGCACAGGTGTCTGGGCATCATCTCAGAGGGCTGACCTAAGCAAGATCAGTCCCTCCTGGAAGCCTCCTGATGGAAGGGACAGACACGCCCCTGCTCCAGGGGAAGACCATGCGCTGACTACCCAGCCACGGCTCCTTCTCGGGGTTCCAAGAAAACCAAAGCTGGCTCCAGAGGTCAGGGGAGCAGATGAGCCGGACGACCTACACACTCCCCTCCTCCTGCTGCCGTGAGACAGTGCGCCTCTTACTGACACTAACTGTACAACTATTACAAGAAATAAAAATTCCTATCCTTGTACAGTATTACCCTAAGATAAAATACCTATAAGTATGATAATCAAAGTAAGCACCAAGTTTCAGGGTGATAATTCAGTGTCATCCCATCAAAAAGACAGATTATAGGAAGGCAGGCTGAAACCCTCTCTGCCTCTGGGGTAGACGCTGCAAGACAGCTTGCGGATACCTTGGACACAGAAGACTTGAGCTTGCCAACATAGTCCCACACTGTCTTCGGAGCAATCCTCCCACCAATGTGAATTGTATCCGGTAAATCCTAAAGAGCAAATATTCAGAGTAAATGACCAGAGAAGCTGCAGTATTTACAAAGGGAATAACAGGGAAACTTCAGGGCAGAAAACCAGCCAACTCTCAAGAAAAGCATAACTAATTCAGGGAAAACGGATATAATTGTATCAAATACTGACTAATTACTGTGGAGAAGCAGAAGTCTCCTTCCCGACCTGATGACGGTACTGTAACTACCTGTGCCCAATGAGATCACATCCAAACACACTGCTCAAGTTTGTATGTTCTTTATGGACACAGTAATGATTCAGGGATGAGCCAGCTGGACCCACCAGCTACTCCTGGCTAAGATCGTAACACCTAGTTCCTTAAGTTCCTTTTAAAAAAGGGAAGGCCTGACAAGATGCTAACATGCCAACCATTCTAAGCTATGTCACACACACCTGGGATGCTCTGAGCATCCTCATTAGGTAGTCTTAAAAACACAAGCAGAACGCCTGAATTCTCCACATTTCTGCCCCACCCACACTTTCACCTCCTGCCTCAGCTCAACTGCCTCTCCTTCACAGAGAGGTGCTGATGTGTCAGGACATGCCTTCTAAGTACCAGGTGCTCCACTGTGGCACAGAAACTCCTAGGACAGACACACCCACTCCCACACCCATCGCCGCATACACTTGATTCTAACCTCACTGAGATAATCGAAACACCCAGAGACGGGATACGCCTTAGTGACAAATTTGGCTACACTCTGCATGTTAATAAATCCTTTCCAAATGGTGCTGAGGCGAGACAAAAAGAGGGTCGTGTCTCCTTCTTGGGGGGACCGTGACTCTGAGACACTGTAAAACAAAAACAAAAAAAAGTTAATCTCCTTTTATACAATGAAAACTGAAGAAAAATACAGAACTCTATATTTATTTATTTAGGCAGAACCGGGGATTGAACTGGGGTCCTTGCACTTGCCAGGCAAGCACTTATTCTACTGAGCCATCTCCCCAGCCCCTAGACTTCATATTTAGAAGCAACAGTTAGGTAACTTCCTGTAAGTTCAGCAGCTTAGTTTTTTGTCAATAAACCAGGTTCACTGCAATGAATTAGGTTTGGTTTTTTTTTTTTTTTTTTTTAAATGTATTTTAGTACATGGTCTACAGGGTCTCACTACACAGACTGGAGTCGCAGTGATCCTCCTGTTTTCAGCCTCCCAGGTGCTGGGATTACAGGTCCATGCCACCATGCCCAGTCTCAGTGGCTATCTCAGCACACCAAAAGGACACGCTGGAATTGAACTCTGGCCCCTACGCCTGTTTAAACAGGTGCTTTAGTCTGCTGAGCTATTTGACCAGCTAGATATATATTTTAGACAAAGCAATAAGCCAAAGAGCTAACAAATCTAGATGATCATAAATTTAAGTAAGTTTCCCAGATCTGTGCCACACTGGGCATGGAGGTGAGCACCTGTGATCTCAGCATTTGAGCGGGCGAGATGTGAGGATCACTGTGAACGCAAGATCACCTTGAAAGACACAGCAAGACCACCTCAGGAAAACAGAAGATCTACCTCCAAAACAGTACAGTGTAGTCCCAAGAAGTAGTTCAGAGTTTGAGGTCTCAGTTCTTTGCTTAGAACCTAATAATTGTTCCCAGAAATCTCTGCAAAGATATTCTCTGCAACTGTGGCAGGAGGCTTGCAGGTAGCTCATCCAAGAGCGCTATTCAGTGCTCCTTGCTGCTGACTGGCTGCTGCCCTGTAACTTACGTCCAGCGGATACACCAGCACTTCCCCATCAAAACAGGTTGCTGTACCACAGGTAGCCATCTTGACTTCTGCTCTTCTTAAAGCCCCAAGATATTCTAAGATGCTGCTAAAATACCCTGCCCATCTCAGGCTTTATTAATACAGCAGTTTATTAAATTATATAACCATGGGAACTAGTACATTTAAAGTACAAAAAAGGGCATTTTTCTGATCATAAATAAAATGTCATTTTTTTACAATTTGCAGGTACTTTTAAGAATATAATGCCTATGAATTTCAGGGTTCACTGTAACTAGACAATCTTAAAACTAAGGCTTTTCAGGCTACATAGGTATGAGGTTAGATTTTGGAGTAAACTGTGGGCTTCAGTATCTAATCCCCCCCTTTCTCTTTTTTAATCTAAAAGAAACACCAGGATTCTGCTCAGTTTAGGCCCATCCCAGTACCCACCTGACACTTGGTGATGGTGGAACCGACAAGTATCTTGGGTCAGGGGATGAAGACGGCTTAGCAAGTATGGACTTGGGCAGCGTCACAGAGGGCAAAGCAGGCTTCAACAGGTCTGGTCTGGCCTCGACTGTGTGGGCACTGTCTGAGTGGCTTGCAGCAGAGACTGTGACGGTGCAGGGCCCACTCACAGCAGTCCTGGGGTCACGGCCTGACACAGTGACTGTGGTGAGCACCCCAGCCCCACAGGAAGCAGGGCAGGGAGAACAGCCCTCCGTCAGCGAAGGCTCTGGATGGCTGCCCTCTGGAGGTCCAATGAAATACCTCCTGTCTGGGTCTGGCCCAGTGGCATTTTCTAGGTCTGGCTCTGAGGCGTTTTCTGGCAGAATCTCCACAGAGCCTTCATCAGGCAAGCGAGGAACCGCATCAGGCAGAGAACTCTCAGGCTTGGGTCTTAAGTCTTCCTTCTTGGCAGAAATTGCTACTTTCTGTTTTTTAGGCGCTGGTTCATCTTCTGATGGAACCTGACCTGAGGAATTTGAAGACAGAGTCAGTGAGACGTAGCAGTTTCATGGTCTGCTAGTGAGCAGGTAGTGACATTTTTTTTTTTTTTTTTTTTTTGGTAGTGACATCTTATAGGAATCAGAAGCACAGGATAAAGGTAGGGCAGACTCTAGCAAATCACTCTTGCCTTTCTGTTTTAACTTGGGTTGAATATGATCACTTTTAGGAGGGTATGTGATTTAAGAATCATCAAGTTTCATCTAATTCCCAAAGTTTTATCCCAGATTATGCTTACCTGTGCAAATCTTACAGTTTAGATCAAAAAGATGAGCCCGGTGTTGACTTGTTGTGTCCTTCAACATGCTGCTGAACACATCGAGAAGAGGTGCTGTGTTCTTCTCAGGGGCGGTGCGTACTGATTCCTGCTGCTCCTAGTAGTGAAAGAACAAGAACAGCCAGGTCACTTCCTTCCCAGAGCATGTGCAAGCAATGGCACACAGGACGTGGAGTCTGAGGAGACGAGAATCACTGGAGAGGAGGGAGTACTGACTGTAGGTACGAGGCACACCACAGAGAGCTGGCCACAGCGCTCAGTGCAGTACAGGGCTCTGCCTCCTACCTACAGACCCCGGACGTGCCGGAAGGGGTTAACGTGACTCTCCCTGCAATCACCAACACCCCCAATGCTCACATCCGAATCTGACACAGGTGGGGAGTCCTCCATGTCAGGAATAGTTTCAGGCTTCATGGCAGATTTCTTGCTTTCGTTTGGCAGTTTACTTCTGGACTCAATTACCTGGAAGGAGAAAAACAGGAACAAAGCCTCAAGCCCCGAGCTGTAAGCATGAGCCACATCTCCCTGCAGGTTACTGACTGTGGAATAGCCGAGCTTCCAGGGACTCAAGCACCATTTGCCAGCTCTACTCACAGATTTTGTCGGCCTCTCTTTCCACATAGAAAGCTCTTTAGACACAAGTTCTTCTGGCTTCATTCTCACAAGTTTTGCCAAAGAAATTTCCTCACGCAGAACTCGATGGAAGAGTCCCTATAAACAAGAATCTTTCAGTCAGTTGTTGGAAAACCGGGTAAGCGCCTATATACTCGCAGTGATGTGTGTAAGTGAAGCATCATGAGCCCTGGCACAGGGCAGCACCTCGGCTCCACCCTGGGGAGACCCCTGCAGCTCCCCAGAATCCTCTCGGGGGGAAGTCCAGCCTGGCCCAGCTGAGAGCCGATTCCTTGACCATGCTGCACAGACTGTGCTGAACACCCAACAGCCTCAGGAAACGAATCCCAGGCTCAAGGTGCAAGACAAGTCAAAAAAGGTGTTACAAAGAAAGCAAGAAATTTAGTCCTTAGACCACAGCTTGCTGAAATGAGAGGGGTAGTGAGAACACTTGATCCTGATCCTAAACAGGCAAACAGCACTTGTCTTAATTTGTGAAGATGCACAGAAAGGTCCAAAAAGTACATCAATTACTGCAATCCAGACTCATTTAGTATGAGTTCTGATATGTGTAACAAGATCTCGATACCTAAGTAAATATGATGGGGGCAGTGCCAATAACTAAGCTGTTATCCCGCCCCTGGGTGTGCTGAGCTGGGCACTGAGACCAGCCGTGGTGGCGCACACCTGGAATCCCAGCGCTGGGGAGGCTGAAAACAAGAGGATCACTATGAGTCTGAGCTGCATAGTGAGACCCAGTACCAAATACATAAAAAAGAAAAGAAAAAGCAAACAAGCAGAGGCCACGAAGAAAAACCCAGCTACATTAATTCAGTATTTCCATGTTCATGCTACTCCACGACGGCCCAAGAATCTCATCTTACTGTGGGGTCCACAGCTGAAGACACATATGCTTTTGAGGGTCCAGATCATGCTTGTTTAAACTGTTAGTACAACATTACAGAGAACTATGTTTAAATTGTTAATGTTAGTAGCATATTAATAGATTAAGCCTTCCTAAGTTTCACTTTAGTAAGAGTTCTGTCACTTCCAAAATATACATAAATTATACACACGTAAGGGTTCCGCAGTGAAGGACCCCGAGAGCCTGTGGGCAGGTGGCAGGAGGGGCAGAGCCAGGCCAGCAGCTCATCCTCGCAGCCCACAAGCTGAGGCTGACAAATGCAGGGGTAGTTCCCGTCACATTCTAAAGAAGCCTCAGCCACACAGTGTGGTTTTACAGCAACGTCATATAGTAAGGTGGGCGGGAGTCCAGGTAAAGAGGGAAGGAGCCAGGACTGGGGGAAGCAGACCGATGCCTCGACACACTGTGTGCAGTGTCTCCCGTGGCACAGCTGACCAGAGACAGCATGTGCATCGTTCCACCAGGAACCACGGCATGTATACGGAATGGCTCACACACCTGGTTTTTAGGGTCCTTGAGGTTGAACATGATACTGCGGTATTTACTCTTGTAGCGATTATCTGTAACTTGAAACAAATTAAACATCTCCTTCTCAATGTGGAGGGCAATCTTTCCCACTTCGTTTTCTGTCATGATTAAATCATCACTGTCATTGACCCTGAACAGAATGAAAAAAGGGGACCAAATAAATAACTTGGTATGTGTAATATATTTCCTTTCTTAAATAGTGGGACAATCCCGACATGTTATAAATGGAAACCCCCCACCTCCACAGGTTAAGACATGAAGCTGAGCTGCCCACCTTTTCCATAAAATCTCTTTCAAGGAGCGTCTTATATTTTGCCGAATTTGTGAATTTGGCTGTGACTGGGCAGAGCCTGTGACCCCGAGGCGTCCTGTAGCTGGAACTGCTGTAGGGGCAGAACCTGCCACTGGCCTTCTCATGGATCCCACCAAAGCAGCAGAGCTGAGTGCCTTTTTGGAAGCAGTGGCTACAGTAACAGGCACTGGTCCTGCCTGCCTGGCGGCCGTGCTGCCTGACGGGGGAGGTAAGAGCCAGGGCCTCTTGGGGATGGGGCCCCTGATGCCTGAAGGTGACTTTTTAATGGCTGGTTTGGCTCCTGCCACGTTTGCAAAAGGAGGCGGCTTCTTTGGAACAAGAGTTCTAGATGAAGATGGTCTCCCCATTGAGGAAGCTGGAAGGGGTATTTTCTTTGGGCCAGTGGCCGGGCCCACTGCTCTGTCTTCCACTCTCTTGTCCTCCTTCATGGCTGCAGACAGAACACAGGGACACTGAATGAGACAGGGCCAACATGTGAGAGCTGGCACCTGACTGAGAGGCGCAGTCAATACTAAGCTCAAATGTACTTTCGGGGCATCATGAAGATGCATTTGGATTAAGGAATTTAAGCCTTAAAATTCAGAAAAGGAGGGTAACTAAGGCTAGGCAGAGGTGTTTATGACAGCCATACTGTAACTAATTTGACTGCTTGGTTATATTATCCCATTAGATATTTTATGTTAGTTCATAAGTTTATTATCAAGCGTTCTATTTTATCATCAAGCTATGAAAGTGAAGGACAAATTCCACATAATTAAAAAGGGTATTTTCAGATTATCACTTTCATGAGGAAAGGTTAAATTTGGTGAAGCTGTACGTTTCAAAAATTGTCAGAAAAAGGAAAGGGACACATTTTCCTCCCAGGCACAAGCAACCTCAAGGGCCAGGAGGCAGCATGGAAGTCACATGTCACCTTACTGTTTTGTGGACAAGCCAACTGGAGACCTTTTTTTTTGAGGAACCGGGGATTGAACTCAGGTCCTTGCGCTTGCCAGGCAAGTGCTTATTCCACTGAGCCATCTCCCAGGCCCCAAGGAGACCTATTTTCATACCAAGAAGCAGATGCCGAGAACACAGAGAGGCTGTTCCACAGATGTCCACACATACAACTCTGGAACTGAAATTTTCTCAGGGTAATGAGATGACAACTTGGTGTTTTTAATTCAAGTAAGAGCTGCCACCGAACATCAAAGGAAAACCCAACTTGCACAAAAACCTCTCCATGTCAGGACAAAATGAGTTACATCAAAATCCCAGGTGCGAGCACTACTCGTGGCGGGGGCCTTGCAAGGGCACAGTACAGCCGTCCCATCACCATCCATACAAAAATGCCTCTGCTAGATTTTTGCCCCAGCACCCTGCAGCTCCAAGCCCATAAACCCTTCACGGGGTATCAGGTGCTGCAGTGATACCAGGGATTAAAAATCACTGACTACTCTCTGATCACCATGTCCAACGACCACTCCCCACATTCGAGGGCGGGGTGAAAATTCCCAAGAGCTGATATCCCACTAGCAAGGAAGGCCTGGGGCCACAAACTGCTTCAGAGTGGTTTTGAGACCAAGGGATGCAATGCAGCCTTGTACACACAGCTGTGTCCACTGGGGCCGAGGCCACGAGCCTTTACGCAGCAGCCTGCAATGCTTCCATGGAGCCAGTCCACCAGAGTGTTGGTTAGTAAAAGGCTAGGGCTTTCAGCTTCATTTATAAAATAAATTAAATCTGAATTTAAAAACATTTACAATAGGACTATGTAGATCCATAGTTTAGAAGTGTTTCAGGAATCAAAGCCATTTTAGGTTTTCATAGTTCCTATTCCTAGCCCTCAGGGATGGTCAGGTAGAAACTCCTTATCTTCACACGACAGCTCCTTGCCAAAGAGCTGTCCCAGACCTACGCCTAGCGGCAATCCCAAGTCCCAGCTGAGGTGTCCGTGGTGACCTGCGTGCTATGCCAGCCCCTACCCATCCACAGCCACATCTCTGGAGCATCCTTCCTCGGAATAGAGCGAAGAAGAGCCCAGAGGGGCCTGGAGTTCTCCCGACAGTGTAATGCAAAGCAATGGGAACGTCTGACAGAGACAGGTAGACAACGAAACAGAGAAACTACTTCCACTGTACACGCAGGTTGTACACTACACGTAACGAGCACCCAACTCACAACTCGACACAACAGTGTCTGCAAGTAAGAGTACGTGGCGATTCCTCCTGTCCAGCTGCTGCACGTGGGCTCGGGACACTTGCCCCAGACACTAGTGGAGTGCATTCGCCTGCGGGCAGGGCAAGCCGGAGCTTTCTGAGCAGTGTGGAAGAGGCCTACCGAGCAGCAGCAGCACAAAAACCTCCGTCAGGTGTTGCAGCAGTGGCTTCACTGCCAGGCCTGCCGCCTGGCAGTCACAAAAAGCACGAACCTGTCACAACCAAAAGGGAAAACTAAACCCCTATATACCTGTGTACGACCTCGGAGAAATCTTCAGCAAATGTGAACTTGTGTCACGTGTGTGGTTGCCAATACGAGTTCAAAAAACGAACTCTGCCTCTTGAAAGCACAATTCTCTTTAGAACGAGATGCTGAAGGTGAGATCCAATCCTTTACCATCTACCTATCTATCCTAATTGGAGGAAAACCCAAGTTTAAAGTATTTCCAGCATGTGTCCAAGGCCACACACTACCTGGAATGGACACACCCCCAAACGGCATCCAGTCACCAGGGCATACCTCTCTAACCACCTGTCAGTTCTGCCATCTGAAAGCCCACTTCTGTGGACCCTTGCCCTGTGCTTCTCGTAGGACACAAACAGGTACGATTACAGAAGCACACAAATTGGCAAAATGACCCTCCTTGGTGGACTTTGAGAAATCTGCCTCAAGCTCACCTGCAGGTATAGGACATATCCAGTCCTCCTGCACCTTACAGGCGTACACAGCCAGTGCTCTAGGGCCGTTAGACATCACTGTCTCTGAATGGAAACCATACTGCTGTTACTAGGCTTGGTCAGCTGCTGCTAGGATTCTTTTTTGGGTAACACTTCAAAGGAGATTCCAAAGCTTTCATTCCAATTGTGTTGTTGCTGGTGAAAGAACCTGGGACTTTATGTACCCTAGGCAAGCTCTCTGCCACTGAGCCTGAACACTCAGACCCCAACTTCACTTTTTATAGTACTATGTAAACTTACAGCAGGGCAGATGACTGATCAACCCCTCAACTCCTCCAGAGAAGCAGCAGCAAACCATTCAGAGCAGGAGACTGGAGCCTGAGCCACCTGGCCTGCTGCCGAGATCTCTGCTGGCCAGCACTGGCCCTGTCCAAGAGGCACTATCCAGCAGCACCCATTACGTAGACTGCCCAGTTCCCACCCATGCTCCATCCTCCTAGGGCAGAGCCATTATGCCAGCAAGTCCTTTAGTCCATGTCTTTTGCTTTGCTTGCAGGGAGGAAAAGTGCTGGGAAGCATCCCTGGTGGCCTCCGTCACTGGCCCAGATGGAAGTCATGCTGCCAGGTCTGGCCATCTGCTTGCAAACTTCATTATCTGGGGTTCAGCCCACGGCAGCAGGTTGCTGTCATTGGATCTGCACTGTGCTGTATAATTAGGTCTCTCAGGAAGGATTGATGGGGTGCTATGCCACTGCCAGCCACTGGGTGGCACTAGCAGGACACACAGGGAAAAAGGTGGAGGAAATCTGGCTTCCCCTGAAGAATCGTGTTTTCTTCAGAACCCACGCAATTACCTAAATGGAAGCTGCAGCAGGATAAAAGGGCCCCTGAAAAGGTGCGAGACCAGACCTACACAGCCCCAGCTGCCCCCGACACCCATGACTGGTGAGTGTAGCCCTCAACGGCTCTTCACAGACAAACTGGTGAAAACCATTAGGCTGTGCATAGGCCATTCCTTCCATCAAGTGCTGACGCCCTCCTCAGCTTCTGTAATTCTTGCCATGGATTACAGATGCAAGAAGTGTCCACTCCCCACAGACTCTGCTTTGAGCCTAATGCACAACTTGGTTTTCCATTCTCAACTGTTTGTTCAGTGTTATGATTGTTCCTACTGTGAAAAAGGTGATAGGCAAGAGAAAATGTTTTGCTTGTTCCTTTTTTCATATGAATTTCACTTGGAAAAGTATAATTTTCTCATCTGCTTTTATACTGTACTGACATGAAACACGCGGAACAAGTTGTAACAGAGAAGCTCCTGGGTAGATGGCCGCTCTGACGGCAGCTTTTGGGTAGATATCCACAGCCAGGTTGTTTTCAGAGTATGAAAAAACTTTCCCGGGCAGTTTATTTATTGTTTCCCAGTCTTTCTGCGTTTCAGTTTAATGAAAAGGTTTCTAACCCTACATAAGAACACTGGATAAAAAAAAAAAAAAAAAAAGCCTCTAAATAAATCAGTTTTAAGTTTCATGTACTTATCCTAAATAGTAAAATAGCACGATCCACACTTGGTTGGCAACCTATACACAAGGGGTCAAGTTACACTTCCAATTGAGCCACTGAGTGTGATGAGACCTTGTTCATGTCCACTGTCTGCCAGCCAAGGGCCATGGCATCGGGCCACCAAACTCAAGATTCACAGGGAAGTGAGCAGCTGCTTCTCAGGGATCTTCCAATCATCAGGATGCACTCTTTGGTAATGTCAAATTTTAAGAAACACTGTTTCATTATACCTGAATTGTTTATTAACACAAACAGGAGAGCAGCGTGTGCAAATATTCTACTTACCCTCCCCAGGAACCTTAGACCCAACGGGTCAGACTCAGATGTGTAAAACCACCAAGCTAACCCCTGATGTGGACCTTAGGTGAGGAGAATGCTGCCCATTACCTTACGTTTTTCTCGCCAAGCTCTTCCAGGGTTGTGACAAATTAAAGTTGCCCCAACCTTCACAGAAATAAAGTAGGAAACATTCTTACCAATCCTCTATTTACTTGGCTAACTTTCAGAAACTAAGAATTTAACTACATGCATGTTTACAAATGCATACAAATGTACCTGAGGCTAGTAAGTAACTAGAGCAGACATCTTCGGAGGGGATCTTTTGCCCTGGATGACATCTGCAATGTCACCAGCTTTCCATGAGCGTTAATCTTCAGGAGGGACAGAGCAGATCCACAGCTCCAAAGGTCGCAGGAAGGTCACTGGCAGAATTCAAAGACCAACCCCACTGGAAACGCCCACCCCTACCCTTGCCCAAGGAAGTGGAAGGACACAGAGGCTAAAAGATCTGGAGGCCAGGGGAGTGGAAGGACCGGAAGACAGTGCAGGCTGGTGTGGAGAGCCCCCCCCCCCAGGTTCAAGTTAAAAAAAATGACCTAATAGTCTGAATAGGTTACTTTAAAATTACGAAAAGGTAACATTTTACTCAAACAATGTTATGCTGACAACCAAGATGATTCCAGCTGCACTGATATGAATAAACAGTTGTCAAGCTCAATCACTTAACCTGTACAAGTTGATTTTGCACCCAAATGAGAGATTGGTTTAGATAAAGACTTGATTCCTCTCACCATTTTATTGCCAATGACATCTCTTGAAAAGATACAGCTTATGGGTGGTATTATTACCAAGACAGAATAGACTTCTAAGAAATCTTAGGTTCGAGTACCCCCTCAGTATTTATTAAAATGGAACTGGTTCCCCTTATGGTTTCAATGAAATGTGTCCTGGAGCCCGCACCCGAGTAACCCAGCAGAAATCTGTGTTCTCTGCAATCCAGATCCCCCCAGCACCAGGACATCTGTGTGGTTATCAGCAATGAAATTCTTCTACCTGGGTAAGATGGACAGCAAATGGCCAGGAACCAGATCTATAAGTGGTTATGATTCTTTTTAATTCTCACAGACAGAGGAAACACTTTCCCATCAAAACCTATGCAGACCCCAGTGTTTTATGTCTATTTATGATCCACTTAGGGAACCCAAAACACTAAATTGTGCCTATAAACACCAAAATTCCATTTGTATATGGCATGGAACCAAAAATGTATTATGAAACATTTCTTTACAAGAAATAATGCTGGTTTGCAAAGACTCAGAAAATTGCATAAATCCTAGAAAATGTTAATGAACAAATCAGAAGCACAACTGTGCGTGAATTGCATCACCTGGAGAACCGGAAGGCGCAGCAGGGCTTCCTGTAGGGTAGGTCCGCACACCTGCCTGCGTCTACCCTGAGCACAGGGTCCTGCGGCAGGATGCGGCTGAGGTACCTCCAGGAGCAGCTGTGGCAGCTTGGCTTTGCCATGTGGTTCTTCTCAGACGTGCAGAGCCGAAGGTGGACTAGCTCTCAGGAGTGGCCTGGAAGCATGCCCAGTCACCTTCCCTGAGCCTCACCACCCCATCTTGCCCTGGTGAAGTGAGCTGGGGAAACAGGGTCAGGGGGCTGTGTGTGCTACCCATCCCACCCTGCCCTCCGGAGCTCTGTGCCCTGCAGCCCAAAGGTGAGGAAATGCCTAGGGAAAGAGACAGAAACATGGTGCTGCTCCTTGGATTGCTTTATCAATCACTCTACTGAACTCCTAATCTTCGAGAAAATGACACTTGTGGGAAAAAAGAAATCACCAGGAGCAACCAGCTCCAGGTACTTGTTATGTACACTGTAGTCTGGATGTCCATCAATTTTAAATCTGAGATGTGCATGTGCTGGGAAGATCGTCCACTTGTTCATTTATCCCAGCTGCCTGCCCCTGGAGCCCATGAGCTGTCCACTGGAAGAGCCAGTGTGCACAAGATGTAAAAGAAAGATGTAGGAAAAGCCAAAGCCAAACCTCCCACCTACGCACAAACCTTCCACCTATGCTCCTTCAGTCTCTCTCTTCCCCTGTGTACAAGACACAGCAACTGACTGTAAAGCCCATATTACCAGCTTCATCACCTCATTGCCAATGTTCCCTCACTCCAACAGAGGATCTCCTCAACACCCCCTTGGAGTTTCTGGGATGGTTTTCCAGGCTGAACGGATAGGTGTGAATTGGACTGAAACCCGTCACCCAGGTATCTGGACTGTGGTTAAACCTTGGTGTTTCTTACGTTATGTGCCTATCTTCAACTTACAGCACTGAGCCCTGTTACCAAGTGGTGCCCTCTCCCATTCCCACAAAGGTACTGCTCACTTCTCAATGTACTTGTTGGCACTACAGATGTATTTCTCTTAGAGCGGCTATAACTTGAACACACAAGGCACTTCATCCTGCTAGCCTGATTTTGATCCTTCACCCCTCTGAGGGGTACTAAGGTCCACCAGGATGCAGCGGTTGGTTCATTCGACCTAGCTGTGATTCCCTTTCCTGTCTTGGGACTTTGGGATCTAAAGTTCTTAACAACATCACACCTGGCACCTACCTGCCTCAGCACCTTCCCCCCCATGTGACATGCTAAAGGCCCAAAGAAAGGAAAAGGCAGTAGAGCTGTGCTCTTGGAATCCGGGGTGATTTAATCCATAGGTGCTTTCAAAAAGGGACAAACTCAACTATGGGGAACGTTAGGAAAAACAAGTAAAAGTTAAGAGTAAGACGATTCCTGTGGATCCTAATAAATGATTTCTCCTGGCAGTATGAGGCTGAGAACAGACCCACGTTGCATGGTCTAAGCTGGGGTCTCACACAGGGAACAGTGTCTTCATTCCATTCACTTGAAACCAGGAGCAGGTTAGCAGTTAAACACTCCAGAGCAGAGCCAGGAAGCCACCACACTTGTGACAGCAGCCCATCAACCTCCCTCGAGGACAATGCTCTCAGTGCCAACAATGCCACTGTGGAGTCTGCATAGCAGCAACAAATGGCCAAGATTTAATGTCTATTTATGTGGGTGTGTGGTATGTGAGCTAGACAAGAAAATTTCTTCCTGTCAGACCAAAAGTTCTGTGAACTCCTAAAAGTTGTACCAAAGCTAGCAGATGCAGAGACTAATTTGCAGAGATGCCCACAGCATACCAAAGTAGTGGTGATTGTATGTGCAAAAAAGGAGTCATGTGGAAAAACTCAAATTCTACACATGGCTGTGATTAAACTAGTTGGTGTTTCAACAGTGCTGAATCTGGAAATGGAACTAAGTACAAAGATGTAACCTGACTTTGCTGCAGATAAGTACTTACCAGAACCTCATGGTGACTGGTGCTAGACATTAAGACTGCACCACCACGATGAGCCATGCATCAGCTGGCTTGTGCAGCACTGGAAAACACTGAGAAGAATGGCCACAGGCCAAGGAGGGACAACCAGGCTCTGGCGGCATGCTGGACACGGGCACTTGCGTCCAGCTGGTGGTGACCTGGTCTCCAACATCAACACTAAAACAGAGCTGTGACTCCCCACCCTGTTTAGCTCCAGGTGGCTACCCAGAGAGGGTGAGAAGAGACCAGAGGGTCAAGCCTTCGGGGATACCTACATTTACAGAACCGTGGTGGGGAGAGCGCAGCAGTATTCTCGGGCTTCACTGCATTGTAGTTGTGGTCGCTGGCCCAGGAAGGGGTGCTGCTCTCACAGGCCGCCTCCTTCCCCACTGTGTCACTCCTAGGAGGAGTCACCATCACCTTCTTCATCACGTTTTCTTTTCTCTCTGGAGCTGGTCTCTTGTGTATAGAGGAGATTTTAATCCCTGCCTGGATAATCAGTGAAAACCTAATCATTAAGCAGGTCAGAAAGGACATCTTTGCTTCCTTTCACAAAGAAGTGAGTACCAAGACTCTCCTCTTCAGTCACCCTCAGACACCTCCTGACTGATCCAGGGACTGTACTCTGCAGTGTTAGCGTACGCATCATCAGAGTGCACGGAGGACTTTAGTTATTTCAACTCTTCAGGAATAAATGGTCCTGAAGTGACATTTTCTGTAACCTCGCTGGTGTAGGAGTGCCAACACAGCACAAGCTGTGAGGCAGGGAATTAAACCAACGCACAGTGGAGAGGGCCTATGTGCAAACGTGAGGCTGCACTGAGCACTAGATGGGGAGGGAGAGTACTTGCAAAGAAAAGGAGACAAATGACACATGTGGTTCTCAATTAAGTCCAGAATTTGGACATGAAGGCAGGATCCTGGCACTCGTGCCTATGCTGTCCCCTTCCTGTGGGCACCAGCCACTGCTCTTAAGACAGCGCTAAGACTCAAAATGACCGTCCTTATACAAGCCATATAAACCCTAACAAGCAACTGACAAACTAGTTTTAAGGACGAGCAGTATGTATAATCTGCATGTCTCAAACAAGATGGTCATTTCCAGATGAGCCTCATAAGCAACTTCCCAATTAATGGAAAGCTTTTGATTTCTGGACGTTCCCATTTCTTCCCAAATCACACAAGAAAAATGAGACAATTTTGAAAACCTTATTATGATTCAACTTTGCACACAAAAAGCAACTACAACTGGCCAGACTTAAGTGTGTGGCCTATGTCTTATGTTGTCCAGGGCAGCCAGTTGCCTATGCTGCTTTGCAGCATTCAAGTTAAGTCAGGCCTAGGTTAATGGCAAAGACTATTACGAGAAGTAAAGGTGCTAGGTGCTGCATGACATTAACACCGCTGTGCTCTAAGCTCCTTCAATAAATACAGTGGCACATGAGAAAGCACTACAAAGCACTTCTTCCTTTAAAGGCTTAATGGCAACCTTGGTCTGCTTACCTGCACACTACATTTTGGAAGACTGAGTTTTTCTGGCTTCATCCTGACCTTCTCCTTAGGCTTTGGTTTTTGTTCTTTACCTGAATTTAGATTTCTCATAGTGGCTGCTGCGTGTTTGAGAATGCAGTCATTACTGCAGTACACCGATTCAGGCTGCGCCACACTGGAGCACCCAGGACCGATGCACCTCGCGGCGCCAGGAGTTTCTATGACCTGCGGAGGCAAATAAATGACTTTAAACAATGGATATACCAATACCAGCAGGAAAAACACTTTTTTTCTTTAAATTTTATTTATTTATTTATTTATTTATTTAATTTATGTGTGTGTGTGTGTGTGTGTGTGTGTGGCCAGCTCAGCCCACCAGGGGGCGGGCTGGCTGGCATGTGGTGCTGGGGGATTGAACCGTGGTCCCTGTGCTTTGCTGAGCTTGTTCTAAGTAGGTGCTTTGGACCACTGAGCCATCTCACCAGCCCCAGGAAAAACACTTTTTCATGGTACTACTGGGAGTAACAAATTAAGTTTTTTGTTATTTTAAGGTATGGAGAAATGAACTCTGAGCCATGCACTGAGCGATATCCCAGCCCTTTTCTGTGCTTCATATTTTGAGACAGGGCCCCCCAAAGATGTTAACTGCCCACACGGGGGACATACTTGTGATCCTCCAGCCTCAGTCCTACTATGTGCAGTGGCTAAGGCTCTTAGCTGAGCGACAGTGACAGTAACACAGAATACTCTGAACACCCTGCACTGTGCAGGACACTAAGACACCCCATTTCACATGCTCACATGCTCTGTACATTTCTTTCCCGTCAGTATAAGCACCACTCAGGGCAGTGAGATTTCATACCTGCGCCCATATCTAGTTCCACTAGGGACTAACTGTGCAGGTCCAGTGAGATAATTTGGATCCAAGATGTTCAGACTTAATCAGGTGAAAATTCTTCAAAGAGACTGCACCTTTCCCAACAGCAGACTACATATGGTGCGCAACAAACTGCCCTCACCCTGGGTTAGAGCAGGAAAGGAAGGCTGCGAGTGTAACACAGGATGCTCCCTAACGAGTTTCAGGTAATCAATGAGTAACTTATTATTTCTGTATCACCAAAACTGCAGGGGACATACATTAAGCAAGGTGCTGGCTTCCAGGAGGGATGTGTTCCCAGCAGACCTGATGACAAGAACACAAGCCTAGCTGCACCCTAACTAAAGCCTTGGAAGACCCTGAACAGAGGGGCTTAGTTCAGCTCATCCAGGGTCTAACCCAAGTATACTGGGAACCTCAACACAGAATGGCCTTACGCTGTGTGTGCACTTTGTTACACAGCAACAGCAAATAAAAATCCAGTGTACAACTACTCAAGCATGGTTGATGGTCAGGATTTAAATACACCAGGCCAACCCTGGCATGTGGCCCAGCAAAACCTAACATATTGAAAAGAGAAATCCACCCCCAGCCTTAACAGCTCCACCAGCAGCAAGTCTAACATCAGAAAGGCCCCCACCTTCATGCTCCCCTTGGCAGATAAACACTTACAGGTTGGAATATCTTGAGTTTCTTCTTGCCACTGGGGTTTGCAGCTTTCTCAATTCTACCCTTGATCCCCTGGTCTTCACTACACTTTTGCTCTACTGTCCCTATACTGGTGCAGTCTGTTCCGTCCATACTTGCAGATCTGCATCGAGTCTCCTGCTCGTCGGTTGGTTCTGAGCTTGTATCTTCTTGCACTTGCAGGATGGTGCAGTTTGGGCAGATGTAATCTTCTCCATTCCTCTCCAAGAGCCGCCCTCGAGCCTCAGAAATGCCCACGCAGTCACCATGGAACCATTCCTCACAGCGGTCACAGCAGATCATAAACCTACAATGAGAAAACGATGGAATAAGGAATGAAGGGAGTGATGACAGTCACTTCCCAATACACTGCAAGCCCAAACTGAGCTTAGTGTTCCTTACAAAAAAATAGTACTGGCTTTAATTCAATGGCATTAATTTCATTGCTGTTTTGACCAGAGAACTTCAATAAATTAACAGGCTCTCATCCATCTCTCCACCCAACAACAGCAGCAGTATTCCCCCAACGAGCCCGCGCCCCAGCAGCACCTGGCGCCCAGCCCCTCCAGCACAGGGCACACTGGGTGCAGTCAGGCTATGTCCTAGGAACTGGGTGGAGCACCACTCTCCCATAGGGGTCTAGGATGACACAGGGTTCTCGCCACCTGCACAGCAGCCAGTTGGTACATGTGGCTGCTGTGACTCGAGGTAGTGAGTTCTTCCTCATTCCCCATTGGATACCAGTATTTAAATGGCATTGCTGAAAAGACAGCGGAGGCAGCCATTTCTATACCTGTTTCTTTCCACATCTGAACCGGTGCATCTTTATCAATTGAAACAACTGCTAATCCAGCCCAGCTTGGCAGTCTGTTAATATCCACACACGGAAAATTCTGTCTAGTCACCCCGCCCCCCATCTATCCATCTTCACGTCTGGTTTTTCGCTAAAAGTGAACAGCCACTTTCCTCCCATGACTCTGACCCACCTGTTATTGTGAGGCTGGCGGCAAATGCAGTACAGGGCGTTGGGGTCGTAAACTTCACTATCAGGCTTAGGCTTGCCCACATCCCCAGGGTCTTCATCTTTAGGTTCCTGAGCCACTATCACCTCTGACTCACTCTCTCTGTCATCTTTTGCTGCCTGGTTCACAGGCCCCTCGCCAGCCTCAGACTCCTGCTTACAGGGTGGCACATCATGGCCACCTCCTCCCACCTCGACCTCCATTGTGTCGCCTGGGTCCTCTTCTCGTCGCTTCTTCCTCAGGCGACTGAGGACGCCCTTCAGAGGCCTCTCTGATGGCTCTTGCTCTCGCTTTCTTCGAAGACGATTCTGAAGTTCTTTCAAAGTGAGCCCATCACTGTCACTGTCAGAGGTGTCACCTTGTTCATCTCCTCCTTTGGCCTTTTCAGAAGAGGCTGGGTGTTCCTTCCCCTGCTTGGAACCACGTGCAGGGGCACTTTTGATCTCAGAGCTGCTCTCGACACTCCCTTCTGAGGCACTTTCCACATCGGTGACTGGACAGGATGCTGCCTCACCAGAATCCTCAAGACAAACAGGCGCATTCTTCCTCCCTCGGCGTCGAACTGTGGTCAGGAACTCTTCTACTCTCTCAGTGCGCTTTGGCTGCCTCCCACTACGGCGCAGAGACAGGCTGTGTGGTTGCTGCTCGGCAGGGTCTACCTCAGTGTCCCCAGTGCCCTCACGCTTAGCGATCGTTGTTCTCCGGAATCCCCAAGTCTTCCTGAACTCTTTACTTGTGGGTTTAATAGCCTTAGGTGTATCCTCATTGCTCTGGTCCCCTGGATCATCCATACCTAGTATAAAAGGTAATCACAGCATGACCCACAGACCACCGAGGAACCTCATCATGTGCATGGAAAACAGGAATAGCTCAGAAATGGGACTGGTTTCTACTCATAAAATTGGACCTATACACAAATGATGGGCTTCTGATCTTGTTTCCTATGCTGCGGTTGAGACAACTCCAGATGAGTCACAAAACTCAGTTATAGAGCAAATGCTCAGTAGGAAAAATCCAGCCAGCAATCCAATGTACGATGTCCCCACTTAACTCTCAGGACCAAGCGCTACCAGGCAGACAGGAAGCAATGAAGCAAGCAACAGGCCATCCAGCGTGAGTATTCGGCCATCACAATGAGGTTGGATGACTCCTGGGTGGCACTTAAAAGCCACACATATCCAGTGGCATTTGACATGTAGGCAGTCTGCCAGTGCCCCAAAGCATAAGGGACACAGTGCTGCGCCACTTCTATATGTAGCCACCAGATGACTGGCCACGTATCTCTTCAAGTTCAGAGCTCTAGTTCCGGACAGGCTCACACAGAGCCTGGCTTGAGGGGAGGGGCAGGCGCTGTCTCCGTCAGACCTGGCAAACCAGCCTGGCTGCTGGCTGAGTGTGGAGCCGGCTCCACGACTACTAAGTGACGGGACAGCCCATTCCTGATCACAAGCTGGGAGCCTGACGGTTTCAGGCTTTAGTCATTTTTTTGGAACCAGAGATGGAGCTCAGGACCTCATGCTTGCTAGGCAGGCACAGAGCCGCTGAGCTACAGCCTGGCCCGAGTCTTCATCTGTTTCACCTTCTTCCTAAACCACTAAGGACATGTACCAAATTTTTACTTTCATTTATAATGATAAAGGTGAAGGTAGTACATATCTAGAGAATTCTTTCCCAAGATTTCCATGCTTTAGTTACATACACACACTAATTATGACTCTGAGATTTTCTACCATGTTCCGTTCTAGGGAAAGGACTGGAAGAAAACAAAAAGCCCCCAAATGTAAAATATACAAAACTTAAAATGGCAACTGAGGTTTCTTTTTTCCTAGTACAATCTGTCTTTCAGCGATAGAGGGCGTATGAGAATGAGCTCTTCATACCAACCTCAACCCACACAGTCAAAGGCCAATCACAAGCTGCGGAGGTCCCAAGATCCCAGCCCTTGTTTCATCACACAATAGCCCAACTCCTGAAGGACGCAACAGCCCAAGTAAGTTGGAGCTAACAGGAGTCCAGGGGAAGAGTACAACCTCCTGAGGTCGTACAGGACCTAAGGACCTGAGTGGGCAGGGAATTTTGAGAGAGAGGACAGAAGCTAGGTATGGTGGCACACCGAGAGACTGAGGCAGAAGGACTGCTTTGAGTTTGAGGCCAGCCTAAGCTACATAAGAGAGTTCAAGGCCAGGCCACATAAAGAGCAAGTCTCTGTATCCAAAAAAAAAGCGAGGACAAATGGGGCCCTATCAGCAGGGCTGAACAGCTCACAATCTGGAGGCAGTGTTTGCCTCAAAAGTGATGAAGAACTGAGCTACCTCCTTATAAATACATATAGCCTTGTGATTATCAAACCACCAAGTTAATCATAACCGCTAATCTATCCAAGAAAATGCTTTCTCTATAGAACCAACAAGTCTGTACCCAGCCTACTCTTCAGCTGGTGGCAGGGCTGGCACCGGGCTTCAGGCACATTAGCTTCCTGCCCCCCACCCCTGGAGGTACAAATCTGACGTATCTGTGAGCACCTCAGGTCCTACTTCCCACAGAACAGTCAACGTCTACTCAAGCTGTAGCTGCAGCGCTGGTGCTAGGCTTCCCAAGAGCAGGGTGTAGATGCACTCTCCTACCTCCAAGCCCCAAGGGCTTCATGCAGAGCTGGGGAGAACCTGTGTCTGCTGCCCAGGGCTGGCCTTGCTTTGGGTAATCTGATTTATTTATTTGGTATAGGGCTCACTACACATTTTGGACTCGTAGTGATCCTCCAGTCTCAGCCTCCCCAGTGCTGGGATTACAGGGGAGTGCCACTGCACCCAAAATCTGGTGGCCAGCCAGGGGTTCCGAGGTCAGAATGACATGCGGTACTGGGGAATCAAACCTGGGTCCTTGCACTTACCACGCCTGTGCTTAAACCGCGAGCTATCTCTCCAGCCCAAGAACGGCTTTCTTGAAGAATTCTCTACAGTACTTAGCTCTCATCCAAGAGAAAATATACAATATACTTACATGTAAGCACCAATAAAACAACCAACAGTAAAATAAAGCACTGGATCGAACTTGCTAACAGTTCAGTATTCATGTGGCCACTCTGAACTAACACTTACAGTACTGAGAATGCTTCACTTGTTTATTTACAAAGAACACTACTTTAATGGTAGGAAATACACAACTTGTGTAGATACTTCTGTTGCCCCTGTTCAACAGTAGTGTGCTTTACCTTATCTTATCACTGATAGCCTGGACACTGCTGAAACCCTAACACAACACCAGACTGGCTGACGCCGCCACTTGGTCCCAGAGTCAGGTCTCAGCACACGCAGTCAGTCACTGTCCACAAGCGGGAGGATTCAAACTTCCAGCCACCTAGACAGCCGAAAGGCTGCTCCTGGAGTGAGCTCCTACAGGAAAAGAAAAACACGTTATAGACCTTTTAGATACAAAAATAAACCACACGCCAATAATGAAGGAAAAAAGAGACCAAACTTTCCAAGTAACCTCTTAACTGCAGTGACCTACAAAGACAGCTGAAGAGTCAGGAAAATGCTCCCAGCAGTCTTTTAAGGATTCAGCTCCAACCACAGATAAGACCAGTACGCTCAGGAGGCAGCCCACCTGCCAAAGGAGTGGCGAGCCTCAGGCTAGCCCAGGGGAGACAGGCAGTACAGAGCTCAAGGACTGGTACTAGGGCTGGCTTCTTTCCAATCATGAGCCTACTTGTGAGATGGGCCCAGCTCAGTGAAACCCAGCACTGATTGAAGAAACACATTCATAAAATAGGCTGAATAACAAAATTATGCATGTATGTAAAGATTTTAATATTTCATCTTAATCAGCATTTATTGAAAATTTTAAAAATTAGGAAGATATACTCACATTTACTAATAATCAACATGAATCATTTATATATGTTTAAAGAACATTTCTTCTAGACCCTCTGCAAAATACCCTAGTTTAAACACTAACTCATGATTTCATTTTTTTTTTTAAATTTTTATTTGTTTATTTATTTATTTATTTTGTGTATGTGGCCAGCTCAGCCCACCAGGGGGCGGGGCTGGCTGGCATGTGGTGCTGGGGGATTGAACCGCGGTCACAGTGCTTTGCTTAGCTTAGCTTGTTCTAAGTAGGTGCTTTAGACCACTGAGCCATCTCACCAGCCCCTCATGATTTCATTTCAATAAAAGAGGGGAAAGAAAGATTCCCGTTTCTAGCCAGGTTATAAATATTTATCTTTTTCCGTACTGTGGCCCTGGAGCATGTACTCCTAAGCAGAACCATATCCTAGCTCTTCCTTTCCTGGCTCTAATTTCCATCTCCCTAGTAACAAATGAGACACTGTCCCTTTAAAGGGACACTGACCAAAGAGCCCTCAGTGTCCAAAGTGATTATCCACAAGATACCATCACGACATCACCTTATCCATGCAGGAAACCTACCCTCAAAATTACCATTTCCAGAGTTCAGAAATCATTTCTCAGAGAAAACTGGAAGTAAACATTTCTAGTATTTCATGGCATTCAGCACTGATAAAATCAAATATTCTTAAGAATGAAAACCCATTTTGAAGGGGCCAGGGAGATGGCTCCGTGGAATAAGCGCTTCCCTGGCAAGCGCAAGAGCCTGAGTTCAATCCCTGGTTCCCTCCCCCCCCCAAAAAAAAAAAAGCATTAACTACTCCTTTCAAAAGACCAATAGAAATTGGTTTTGAAGGGGCCAGGGAGATGGCTCCGTGGAATAAGCGCTTCCCTGGCAAGCGCAAGAGCCTGAGTTCAATCCCTGGTTCCCTCCCCCCCCCCCAAAAAAAAAAGAAAAAAAAAAAAGAAAACCCATCTTGAAAAAAATTAGGACTGGGGACTTATCTCAGTGGTAGACTGCCTGCCTAGCATCCAACAGGCCCTGTGTTCGGTCCTTAAGGCAGTGGGGTGGGATATCAAAACTAAAAAATACTAAATTTTTAAAAAATGCTCAAAAACAAATCCGTAAAGAATTGTTTCTGTTAAGTAGAGTGACCTAAAGGACTCTTGGAACAGATCAGATTAATGCCTGCAAAGTTTTCATTGTGTTTTACCAGTACAGAAATATCAAAATTTTAGTTAGCTTGTGAAATAAGAACACGTATATTCCCAGAATCGGTGGACATTCCTGCAATCCTAGCCCTTGGAGGCTGAGGCAGAACTGCTATGAAATCACGGACAGCTTGGGCTGCATCGTGGGTTCAAGGCTACCCTTAACTACATAATGAGACCCTATCTCGAAAATACAAAAACAAAACACAAGTGGGGCCAGCCAGATAGCTCAGCAGATTACAGCGCCTGCTTAGGCAGATACAGGGGTCAGATGTTCAATTCCCTGGCCTGCAGTCTGGTCCCGCCCCTGGGGTGCATGGAGATGGTGACTGAGACAGGACGTGGTGGCGTGTGCTTATAATCCCAGCACTTGGGAGACTGAAAAACAGGATTACTACAAATCCAATCTGTGTAGTGAGACCCACAACACCCTGTAGACCCTCTTACTATCATACTTTTTGAGCTGCAGTTCTACAGTCTCTTGGTCTTGGGCCCCTTTATATTCTTAAAATTTGAGAATCTGTTTGGGCACATGGTACCTGCTTTTAATTCCAGGTAATACAAAGCCTAAGGCAGAAGTTACAAGATGGAGGTTATTCTGGGCAATTTAGCAAGATTCTGTTTTAAAATATAAAAAAGGGTTGGAGATGTATCTAAAGGGTGGGCAGTGGGTGCCGAGAACCCCAAGGGGCTTTTGAGATGTATCTATTAGTATTTGAAGAATTAAATACTTCATTTACCTATTTAAAAATAAATCCATCGAACTTTACAATCCCAGCATTCTAGAAGGGTCACAAGCTTGAGCCTAGTCTGGGCAACTTAGAGACACAGTGAGACTGTCTCAAAATGAAATTAAAGAACATGTTGGTGATGTAGCTCAGAATAAAGGCCCAGGTTTAAGCCCCAGTAACACCACCACCAAACAAGCATGCAAATGAATGAATGCTTTATATTTTGCCCACCTCTAACAGCATACAGCTGAATTTTCATATGTGCAATTCTATCACTATTATGTGTGCCTCTGGTTGAAATGGCTGAAAAACGCTCAGTGTCTCACAGATATGTCTTTGGAAAGTGAAAGTGTAAATAACAGTTTCATAAATTAACTACAGCCAGGGAGATAGCTCAGTAGAATAAGTGCTTGCCTGGCAAGTGCAAGAGCCTGAGTTCAATCCCTGGTACCCCCCTCAAAAGTTAACTGCTACCTGGCATCTGAAACAGGATCAATGAACTTTTTCATTCTCTTACATTAAAACTTACTAGTCTGTCTTGAATGGCGAATGTTACTTTTATCTATATGCTTGTGGGTTATTTAAAAAAAGTACTGGTTCACTGAGTTTAAAGGAGAAGAGCAAAGAAATGCATTTACGAATGTCAGCTCAGATCTCACCAGTTAATGTTTAATTACTGGGAAGTCATTAAACTCAAAGTGACAGTTTCTCCAAAATTCTAACTTTTGCTTCAAAGTGCAAATTTTATCTTGAGTCACAAATACTGTAGTAAAGTGCTTCCCTGGCAAGCACAAAGGCCTGAGTTTAATGCTCAGTTCCGAAAAAAAACAAAACAAAACTGTAGTAGCTCTCCTTGAGACTCTCATTATTCATTTTGGAGAAAATGCCTGCCAAATGGTGAGCTGAAAGCTGCTGTGAGGCTGTTCTTTCAAGATGGCTGGCTCGGCTCCTAGATCCGGCCCCCAAGGGTCCTACTGCAGAGGTCACCCAAGGAGAAACTCATCTTCTCTGGGTGGGCCTGCCATTTCTTCAGAGAGAAGGTTAAGTGTACATTTGAGGGTTACAATATGATATAATAAAATAAAATACATTTTACTGCTTCATCAAGAACATTCATTTTTTTCTTTTTTAATTAAATTTTTTTATTTATTTGATACAAGGTCTCACTATGCAGTTCAGACTTGGCATGTGTCACCATGCCTGGTTTTAGGGCTGGCACGACATGCAGTACTGGGGATCGAACTTGGGAGGGACCTTGCACTTAGACTGCAGAGGTATCTCCCCAGCCCAAGAACATTCATTCTTTTTTCTTGTTGTTGGTGGCAGTACTGGGGATTGAACCAGGACGTTGAGCTTGCCAGGCAAGCACTTATTCTACTGAGCTATCCCCCAGCCCAAGAACATTCATTCTTAACAGAAACTGGCATATAGTCTTCTGAAAGGCCCAGTGCATCCTGGGAGGAGCACTGAGTATCTCTGTCCACGTATGTGCAAATGTCAGCTCAGTAGAAAAGGCTAAGCGACTACTGTGCAAATTATTGGCCTCTTAGCTCCAGAGATGATTGTGGGGACTGCCACGAGTTCATGAAACACTTCTGCAAGATTGTGGCCATTCCTAGTAGTTTAAGAATACACTGGGTGTGCCCAAAGCAGTGCTACCATCTATGCTGCGGGTCAAGGGACTTCAAACACTTCCTCTGCCGTAACCTTCACATTCCTCAATTCAGCTGCTAGAGTGAACTGTTAAACACCTAAACAAAACATAGCCTCCAGAAATTTTTGTTACGTACTATTTCTTAAAAAACTTTTAAGCATTAGTGATACATAATTTTTACAATCAATATACATTTGAAAGTTTAGCTATTACCAATTTAACTCTGATGAAAGTCAAGTAATAGAATCCTGTCCATTTATTATTGTTTGCTTTTACGACAAGGTCTCACTATGTGGTTCAGGCTGATTTGAACTCACAGTGATCCTCTTGCCTCAGCCTCCCATGTGCTGGAACCAGCTACAGCATCATGTACAGATATCTGATTCCAGAAACTTAAGACTATCAACTTTTAAAAATGTACTGAAGGGGCTGGAGAGATGGCTCAGTGGTCTAAAGCACCTACTTGAATCAAGCTTGGCGAAGCACAGGGACCACGGTTCGATCCCCAGCACCACATGCCAGCCAGCCCAGCCCCCTGGTGGGCTGAGCTGGCCACACACACAAATAAATAAATGTAATAAATAAATATAATAAAAAAAATGTACTGAAGATTAAACCTAAAGCCTTGGTCACGCTAAGGAGATACTGAGCTATCTCTATACCCTTCTCTCTTTTCTTTTGAGGCAGGGTCTTGAATAAGCTGCCCAGGCTGGCCTCTAACTTGTGATCACTCCTCCTGCCTCAAGCTTCTGAGTAGCTGAGAATGCAGGTGTGTACCACCCTTGGGCGAGACTAATTCCTTGGTGATCAGTGTCTGAGACACTTTACATACAACCATAATGAAGTTCCTATACCTGTGCCATGTGCAGCCTTAGGAAATCACCCATCATGTCTACAGGGCAAATGTGTATGCTCCCATATTTGGTGCCAAAATAAGACTTTTCAAA